AAACAGATTAATTTTCTTCTCATAGTACTCAGCGAAGAATGTGCATGGAAAAGAATTTCCTAAAGGCGAATTCTATGAATTTGCAAGACATCGTTGTCACTTGTTGATGAAGTACATAAAATCGACAAAAAAGCTCAAAATTTATATTATATTACAATACCAAATATTCGAGGAGTGCTGAATTCTAACTGATGGAAGTGATTAATTCACAACTATACGACAAAACTCCTATCAATTATGCATATAAGGAAACTAACTGACGCTCGAAAATCATTAAAAGTAATTAATTAATCAAAAAACAGAAGAAAAATAAGAAATACATGTATGAAATGAACGAACGAATAGGTCATTATTGAAGTTGATCACTCTGAAATCGCGTATTTCGTTTGCAGCAGAAGGAACATACAAATGAGTACGAACATTCATGATGGTCGTTTGAAAATAAATCTGATTGTGAGTGATAATTGATCAAAGTGGTGATGTATAAACTGATCAGAGCTAAGGACTTTGAACTGAAACGATTTTCAAGAGATTGATTGAAGTATGCTTTGTGATACGTTTCATTTGTTGAAGAAGTAAACTTCTCGCAACTCAAAACACGGGTTACAGACAAACGAGAATGAACTGCTTCGATGGAATTAAAACGGTTGGAATTGAATCGCATTGTTGACAAATTTCCTACCAAGCGTTTGATAATTAGTAATCAGATGAAAGCACTCTTGAAATGAGATGTGAATTAATTTTGAATATCCATCAATACTCTCAGCTGACCGCCACTCGCTATTATCGCCCGTTATACCCATTAATGCCTCAGCCCGATCCTAACAGTGAGCTCTTCTCCGGCGATTTTGCATAGAATTATTAGGTTTCGCATGCAAATTCCGAAGGATTTAGAAATTTGCATACCATGTTTGTATTTAATGTGAAATAACCATTTCAGTACCCATTGTTTGTAGCGAATCCATAGAGCTATGGAGGGCTCTGGAAATGTGGGGGTGGATGTTGAGGAGTTTACAATTGGGGAATTGAAGAAGTATTTATTTGTTACTGTTTGTCTCATTATTCCGCTTCATAGGACGGAACGTATTTGGTTGATTACAACCAGCTAATGTGCGTGACTTTTGAGCGGAACTAATGAGCACGATAACGTGACACTACTATCATTCATTAGGTTGCAATTTCAGAATCTACGACGCTCTTGTGGTGCCACGAGTGCGGCCTAGACTATGCATTCTCTTCTACCTTCTAATTTTACCAGCTTATACATGCTTTGGTGGAGCAATCTTTTGGGTTCGTCTTCTTCGCGCTTTTGGTCGAACAGTCAGATAGGCTTTTTACCTCAATGATTTTTACTGCGATATTCGTTTGACAAAATTCTTCAGTTGGTTTTCCAGTCTACGATACCTGCCGTTACTGGGTTAAAAAATTCCTTGGAACACTTAATTTCAAGATTGTTTTTATATATGTGTGGATGATTCCGATATCATTTTTACTAACTGCAAGACTGTTCCTGAATTACTTCACTTCACTGGTTATGTCTTCCAAATCTCAGAATCACTTCCATAAGTGCTGCAAAGCATTGAGTATTTTAGTTTACCGATTTGCGTTCATCACAAGATGCGCAAAAAAGATTTGATCGTGCATGCATCACCGAGAAACAAGCATCGATGCGAAAGCTTTGGACATCCTATATCACCTTGAATATTTCTGGTGAAAACATTCGTGATTTTTGGAATGAAATTTCAGAAACGATTGAATACGTGAGTTTAGTGATCGTTTCGAAAAACTAAATACCATTTCCCATGGATCGATTTTCTTGCATCTTTAACCATTTCAATCCATATAACCAGATCGCTAAAACGCGAAATTTTTTGAAGTCGAATTGTTAACTTCGAAATACTCTTGAATCGACAACTATCATTGTAGGGTCATCCCCATTTGGCGATAGTTTAATGCCGAGGTTTTTCGTTACAGGTTGATAACTGCCATCGGGAAAGCATGAGAGATTTAAGGCCAAAGGTATTCAAACCGTACGAATCGATCGTATTTTCGTTCGGGGTTATCACAACTATCGGGTACGGTGACTTGGTTAGCGATCTCGTATCACTTTTTTTTTCACCGAATGTCACCTGAGAAAGACGATTGATATGCCATCAACATTCACCTTTAATATCACTTCTCAAGAATGATGATTTACTCTATTCAAAGTGCTCATCTCTCACTTGAGGAATTCTGAATCACTAAATTATTTTCGTCAGCTTAAAATTGCGAAAAAAAGAGGAATTCGTATTTTTGTGTGTTTATCAAATCGTTAAAAGTTCGCATTGTTTTATACGTATATTCAGAGGATTTATTTTATACTTTTGATGATTGTTGCAAAAAGTGCTTAAAAATATGAAGTTATACATGACCATAGGTGGTAAGAACGGTCAGCGGTCGTTTTCTTTCAATATTATACGCAGTGTTCGGCATTCCTTTGAATGTGGCATTTACGGCTGATTTTGGTGACTTAATTTCAAAATTCACAAGCAAAGTTATCAAGTATATTCGTGAACTTTATGCATCGTATCTACGGAGGTGAACGAATGCAATTCACTATTCTTTTTGGTAGTATCAAACGAGTTTAAATGATTGTAAAATGGTGTTATTTGTGTTAGGGTTATCAATTGATGAGCATTGGTAAGAATGTTCAGTGCAATGGACATTCTTATTACAAATGCTTATAATTTGATTAATATTCGAACAAACAAACCGTTGGTGATATTCGAACAATGTGTGCACAGCCAATGTTTCGAAAAAGCCAAATTTTGCAATTTCCAAATAATTCATCGACTTGAAATATTATCAAACAGTTGAAAGATTATCGCCGTAGAGAAACCACAAATGAACAAGCAAATAAAATGAGAACATATTTTTGAGGTGTAATATGAGTGAAACTGAGCCCAGGGATGATAAGTGAAACGGTTCGTAGTGTTTATCGATACAAGGGAAACGTCTCTGCAGATAGCTAGTGTGAGGGAATGATAACAGTCGGTTTTCTCCAGCTGGATACAATTTAGTAATTTTTACATCAAAACAAGGAGTATTTTCATTGTTTACTGCCCCGTAACTACAGATCGCAACAAGAATTAAAGCCAGTATCCAAGAAATGCAAATTCGTTGTAATATTGGTAATGACAAGCATTTTCATGGTCGTACTTACTTTCATCGCGATGGTAAGTTCATACTTGCGTTATTCACTGTTAGGCGTGAAACTATTGAGTTGTTGAAGAGAATAACTGACAAATTCATTGCTTTCATATGAAATAGATGGTACCCGGACAATTTGCCTAAAGACACATTGCCTAACGGACACTGTCTAATGGAGTTTGCTAAATGGCAATTTTGCCTAATGGGCATACCAGATTGTTAGACGTAGCCGTTCAGAAAATGTTGGGAACGTCCATTTAAATAATTGCTCTGGAGCAACATGAGACCAACGGCCTATCTGCATGACTTCAATCTAGAAGCAACAATACAAGTTCGTCATCGTTTAGCGCGGTGGTTCCCAACCAGGAGTATAAGATAATATTCTAAGAGGTGGAAGAAAATATTTTATTATTGATACATTGAGAACCACTTTACCTTCATTCTCGAATAAACTACAACTCTGAGGGCTGCGAGGATATGGTAAAATTTTTTAAGGGTTTGGGACATAAAAAAGGTTGGAAACAACTCCTTTGATGAATAGGTAACGCGGTTAACATGCAATACTTGGGTTTGGTTCAGCAGAGAGGTGCTACAGTACGATGTCATATTTTTAGTATCTGGAAAGAGAGCAAGGATGGGATTTTATCGATTCTCTTCACTACACGTTTGCAACTGCTTCATTGATAGGTTATGGTGACTTAACACCGATGAGGCCAGCATCCTACGTATTCATTTTTATGCCATTATGCTTTATTGCTGAAACATTATTATGTCTCGTTTACGGATTCCTACAGGTACATTATTGATAATCGCTTATTTATTTGTTTATCATCGATGGTCTGCAAGCCTGTTTCCGTGACTACTTGCAGTACCTCGAGAGCTACCTTTATCACAAACAATCAGCCATGTGCGAATCACTAAATGATTCAGAACAATCGGTATTTTATGAGCATCAGTTACTGTTTATGTGATTAATTCAAAATCGGAGTCAATGCTGTAGGCTCGCCATCCAATGAGAATAGATACGGCGAGCTTAGCTTCCCTCAGATCTAGATCGTAATCTGCATCTTATTTCAGTGCATCAGGGCACTTTTAACCGCACTGTTTTAGCAAGCAGAAAATGTGCACAGTTAGTTCTGTTCCTGCTTGCATGACAGATGTGAATCTGTTTTCAGAGAACATATCGTTTCCATTCGGTGGCGCTCGCCCGTTTGTTTATCTTGCAAATACGACGTATTTATGGCAAAACTTTTCACAGTCAAAGCACTAAGCAAGTCAGCTCACGACTCTTAGCTGATGGTAAAGCAGCACAACCAGTCGAAAACGATCAACAGTCTGCCATTATCAACAAAAAGATTCAAGCTGAACTTAAGGAACTGCACAAATCACCTAGTGCCGATAGTGTTGCGATGTTAGCCGTGCCACTTCAAAGTAAGCACTTTATGACGGATCGTCTTTGAAATTACGCCAACGGTGATCGTTGCAAATGCGAGACGGAAACATTTTCAGATAATAGAAGAATCAAGAGAGAGTTACGTTCACGAATAGCAGCCTTACTGACAATGACTGAACCGACGTAATTCAATGATTCCACCGGAAAAGACGGATCTAACAACGATAACCAAAAGCCGACTGGACTGAACCCAGCTGAATGAACCACGCATCCCCCACCGCTTATTCAAATTAATCCGTTCACTCATAATACAAACTCGCATACGTTATGTTTGTGTCTTCTGTTGTGTGTGTGTATTGCAAATGAAATTCCACAAAGTCTTTCATCATCAGAAAATATGCCATTCACTATATTGTATTTTACTCACCCTCGGACTGAAGCACCGATCCGATCGCCCATATTCACAAATATACGACTTTATTATGCTGCACGCTTTAACCTCATTTCTTAAAACGA